TGAGAAACAATACTGCTGGAATTATAAAAGTAACAGTATACTCAGATGCACAGAAAGTAGATTTAATTTTTACATTTCCATCCACAGGTAAAGGCTGTGATGTCTCTCTTGCAGCGAAGTACAAGATCATTCTGCTTCCCATTTCTTTTGTTTTGTTTAAATTCTCGTCATCATTTAACAAAATACAATCCAGACTCAAGAGAATTTCCAAGGTCTTGTTCCCTCTCTGAAAATCTTAAGCTTGCAAATATCTGCATGACCATATTTAATTCAAAAGGAGGAAATCCATACACGCAGATAATACTTAAACATACCTTGTCAGTGTAGCCCTTCCTCTCCCCTTAGCACCTGGATGCACATAGTTTGTGAAGGTCCTGAGCTCTGCTGCTTTCTTGATCTACGGGGAAAAAAATTCTTCCTCTTCAAGAATTACCAGAGTCACAGAAATGCAAGTTCTCTTCCAAGAACACTTCTAGGTTGCTATTTTCAATCTAGTGGAAGCAAAAGCTGCTGACACACTGCTGGATCCATGCAGTGAGATGAGATTTGGATGACAGCAGATAAGCAGCCCCAGAGCAGGGATGGACAAGGTCTGAAACTACTTCGAAGTTTAACGAAAGAAAAACCCCAAAACCCAGCTCAGAACTTTTTACACTAACACCACAAGTGGTAGGAACTGATGGCAAGAAAAAAATTGGGTGTGTCGTCAGCCACTACCAGTGACTAACACCGATACCAAACCTCTAGAGCTGCGAAGGTAAAAGACTGAAAGGACATGGGTTTGCAGACTGCCAGGACTTCAGCTGTGTCCATGAAACAGACCCCTAATGCTGACCTTGAGAAGCCTATAGCGATCAGAGCAGAGTTTTGGGGCAAGCCAGGTGTGCTCAGTATTAGCATGATGTCAATACCTAAGGAAAGCAAAATCCTTTCAAACAAGCTTTTTGTCGCTGCTGCGCAGTCGAGGTGGCCTGTCCTTTGCTACACAAACCACTCCGCTTATTTTACAACTACCAGTTCCACATAAGGGAACCTTTTTGACAACCCTGCATCCCTCCCTGCCCCAAATCTAAAACATCTTTGATGGCTACGCCTCCCTCCCACGCCTGTATCTGAAACAACACAAACTGCCAGATGTATTGTTGCAGCTGAGCTTTCCTTGCACAAGACCCGGCGATGAGGGAGAATACGGGTACAAATTACGCTTGTGTTTCTTTGGTCCTAGGATTTGCTGCCAGCGGTGCAGAGGCAACACTGGCAGCCACAGGTCCCTGAGAGGTTGTGACAGGCAAGCTATGAGACCCCACTCAGTGTGAAAACCCACTTCTACCTATCGCACCCAGAGGCATTGTAGGTATTATGACATAAACAGCTGCACCTGCTTTCTGGCTACACTGCACAGCCA